AGCCAGGTCCCAGGTGGCCCTAAAAGGGGGTTTCCCCCCTGAAAAAGGGATCCTTTCAGTCCAGTTTCCAAAAGGAGCTGGCTCTCTCCCGGGGAGGGCAATAGGGAGGGACAGCACAGAGCAGGGGGTTGCATCCTGCGCTCATCCCCTCTCTCCCTGCCTGGGGACCTGCTGGGGGACGTCTGCTTTACTGCAATGAGTTTACAAGTCTCGGCTGCCCTTGGAGGGGACGACATCTCATCTGCTTGAGCCTCTCCCCATGGGGCCAAGAAACTTCTCTGCTTCTTTCCCCTCCTCAGTCGCAGGTGGGGCCCCGACGGCCTGTGGCTGGTTTAGGCTGGGTGGCTCTGAGGGTCACAGAGATTATAACTTCTGGCTGCAGAGAGCACGATCAGAGCGAAAAAGCTGTGTTTATATTGTCCCTTTAGCACCCCCCCTGCACTACACACAGGCACGCAGAAGACTCGCAATGTGTGAAACAGTTTAATGCTTTAAATAGTAATCACCGAGGCTGGAGGGATGCTGTGCTCCACACGGGACAAAGGGAGTTAAAAAACCCAGGGTAAACAAAAGTGATCGAGCTGCCCCAAGAAGCGTGGCCGGGAGCCGGGGTCGGTCACCACGGGGCTGGGGGTGCTGGAGCGGGCAGGGGAGGATGAGGGGAGACGCAGCGGTGTGGGAGAGGCTGGTGGGGCTGCGTCCCCCCGGCCACCCGCTGCCTGGTCGGCGTGAAAGCTTGCGGACGTGGCCCCGGGCGGCGGCGATGGGTGGTGGCTGGGTTATGCTGGACCAGTGGTCTTTTTGGGGGGCCACCAGCAATGCGAAGGAGTTTCTACAAGCCCTTCGCCCACCGGTCACTTGTCCTCGTCATCGCTCCCGCTGAACTGGTAGGTGAAGAAGCCGACGGACTCCTGGGCGAGCTTGGAGAGGTGGACAACACCCGTGATGACCAGGGCGGCGAGCAGCAGCGGCAGCACCACGCTCCCTGCCGTGGCCAGGGCGTTGTAGCACCTGGCCTTGGAGCTGAAGCGCCGAGCGGCCTCCACGTCCCCGGCCACTTTCCGGTCCCGCGCCTGCAACAGCCGAGAGATGGGGCGGCAGTGCCCGGGCTGCCCGCGGCTCCCTCCCCGCGCCTCCTCCCAGCCTGGCTACGTGGCTTCGGCACCCTCGCAGCCCACAATTTAGCCCTCTGGGCAGTGCCGCGCCGCCAGCCGGCTCCCTGCCAGCCAAGAGGGTGGCCATCCATCCCTCCCTGCCCGCCAGCTCCGCACGCTCCTGCTCCCCCAGCCCCGCTGTCTTTGCTGCTGGGATTTTCCCTTCTGCTTCTCTCTCGCTTCTTTCAGAGCCTTGCTGGCTCCAGCCCTCACCTTCCCCCATCTCTCCTGGCCCAGTCCAGCTGGAGCTGCTCCTGCCAGAGGGCAGGTGGAGGGGCTGGGGACATCATCTAGGAATGTCCCCTCCGGCGGTGGTAGGAGGCTGTGGTGATCGAGGGGGTCTCACAGCCTTGTTAATAGGTGGCAGGAAAAGTGTGGGGGCTTTACCAGGTGATGGTGTCACCTGCCACCAGCCTCTGGGGGGTGTTGGGCTCTTGTCCCCCACCCCGGCCCTCCCAGGCAGTTATTTCAGGTGCTCCGTGTCTCCTCGGGAAGTCTGTCCCTTGGCATCAGCGCGGGGAGGGCTGCCGGCTGACCCCAAACGTTCAGCCTCCCGTCCCCACTCGGCGCCCATACCTTGACGGAGAAGGCGAGCGCCACGAAGCCGAGGCAGCAGAAGTTCATGTAGATGGTGTTGAAGATGGACCAGACGAGGTGGTCGCGGGGCAGCGGGGAGGCGCCGATGGCGGGAGACGGCTCCCGCTTGTGGGCCGGCGCGGGCAGGTAGTCCTCCCGCGGGTAGGAGGTGTCCATGGCCACGGAGAGGGGCACCCCGCGGCTCTCCTGCTCCACCAGCCTGGCTGGGGGAGCGGGGCAGGGCAGCCCCTTTATATAGTCCTTGTCCACGGTACGGCCTCGTCTCCTCTATATATAAACCCGAGAAATTACAGCCCTCCCGGCCTGTGGTTATCAGACATGCTTGGCTGGGAGCTAGGAGAAACAAACTTGGTTTTGCGAGCCTACGGGCTTTTTATACCCAGCCTTCCTCCTGCGATGAGGAGCACAGACGGCTCCAGCGTGACGGAGGGAGAGGCCGAGCGCCCCGGGAGAACTGTCGGGATGGAGCCATGGGATGACTTTGAAACCAGGTGACCGTTGCCCCGAGGGGCCGACAGGAGACAGACCCCCGGTGCCAGGGTCTCTCGCTGCGCCAGCCCGCACCAGTACCTGCAGCCCAATCCCTCCAGGTGGTCTTGGCTGGGAAGACCCCTCGTTCACAGCGCGTTTGGGCTGCCGGATGCATTAAATGGGAATTTAATACCAAAATGTGGAAAAGCTACTTCTATGGGGCTCCCTGGAAGTGGGAGGGGATGGGGCTGCATGGTGGGATGGGGTGCATATGGCCAGAAAAACATGCGCTTTTTTTTTTTCCTTCTTCTGTTACGTCTAAACTTTTAGGAAGAAACTTATCTGGGTTCTGGGCTGGAAGCGCTCCGCGCTGCGGCGGGGATGGAGGCAGAGCCGTGGAGCCAGCAGCGGGAGGAGGAGGCTGTCCTGAAGACGCGTGAGGACCCTCTTCTTCCCCACTGTGAGTAAGGCGACAGCGAGGGGCTTTGGCAGGATGAGCTTTATTTGTGGCAACAGTGACCTGCTAACAGCTCGGTTAAACACCGAGAAGCCCAGCGGCTCCCTGCCGAGGCGCACAAGCGAAGAAGAGAGGTCTGGCCCACCCATCCCCTTCCATGCGGGGGCCGTGCCGGGACACCCAGGGCTGCAGGCAGCAAGGGGACAGGGCATCGCTCTCTTTCTGCCACGACGTGTGCCCAAAGTGGGGACACGGGGACATTTGGGGAGGAGGAGGAGGAGGAGTGGGGAGGAGAAGCACCCCACGGGGTGGCAGCAAGCAGGTCGGTGGCCATGCGGCGGTCAGGTGAAGATGATGTTGGCGGCGATGGCGGTGACAATGGCCACCACAGTGAGGACCAGCAGCACGGAGCAGACGATGTTCCACACCCTGGCACGGGCACCGTGCTGCCGGGCACCCTCCAGGTCCCCCAGCACCTTGCAGTCGCGGGCCTGTGGGGGCAAATGGGGGGCGGGCAGCAGGGGGGAACCCGCCGGGGGGGCCGGCCCGGCCCGGGGGGGGCCGCAAGGTGGTGCTGGGTCCTCAGGGACGCGG